TAAGATACTGAAATGGTTTATCAAGAAAGGATTAAGGAACATCTTCTCTGGACATCTTAAAGACTAGAGGGAGAATGCTTCTCTCTCAAGTAGTTTAGGCTACCTGGGCACCCCTCAATATCTCATAGGATCATAGATTTAGAGCCGGAAGGGACCTCAGACACCGGCAAGCACAACCCCTCTCATTTAACAGCTGACAGAAACTTCTGTTTTAACACAAAGAGATTAAATATTGCAGGGTTGCATAGCTAGTAAGTATCTGAGGCAGAATTTGAATGCAGGTCTTCCTGACTACAAGTCTAGCACTCTATGCCTCTACAACACCTAGATGCCTATGATTCTGCTTATTTAGGGAGGGGGAGGGGGAAAAGGTGGAGTAGAAAAGAAATGGAATGCTACAAATAGAAGCATGGTAGCAAAAACTTCATTCTTTCACTAAACATTTATTAAGGACCATTTAATAAATTGGGGCAGCTAGGCGGCACAGTAGATAGAACATTGGGCCCTGGAGTCAGGAAAACCTGAGTTCAATTCCAGCTTCAGATACTTACTAGCTGTGTGACCCTGGGCAAGTCATTTAACCTTATTTGCCTCAAATTCCTCATCTGTAAAATGAGTTAGAGAAAGAAATGGCAAACCACTCCAGTATCTTTGCCAAGAAAACCCCAAACGAGGTCACAAAGAGTAGGACATTACTGAAACAACTAAACAACAACAATTTAACAAATTAAACATTTATTGATGTACTTATAGCATCAGTCTTAGGTGCTGGTAGAGATATAGAGATTTATCTTACGTGTGAGTAGTAGAATGGAGGGTAATTAAGGGAATCCCTGACTTGTTGAAAGGGGGCAGAGTGTATGTCCAGCGCTATGGGAGGTGCCAGGCCAGCAAATCAGAACTTTCCCTGATTATCTCCCACTAAATGAGGATTCTGACCTCAGGGACCTTACAGTTGAGTAAAGGATATGATACATACATAGACAACTATGATAAAAAATTAAATTGGTGAGTGTAAGCAAACCTGAGCAGGCAAAGGCCATTAGTGACTGGTTGCATTAGAAAAGGCTCTTCAGCTGGGCTTTAAAGGATGGATAGGATTTCAACTGACAAAAATGGGAGAGGAAGTCATTCCAAGGAGTCATCTTAGCAGAGGTACATAAGAAAAGGAAAGCATCGTATTTGTGTAGGCAATAGCAAATAGTCCTGTTGACCCTTGGCATGGAGTAGTAATTTGACAAAGCTAGGAAGGTGAATATGTAAATATGCTTGACTTATAGGCTAAGACTTTGAACTCTATTCAGTGTCTAAGTAATAGGGAGCCATTGAAGATTCTTTAGCAGAGAATAGTTCTATGCATAAAGGAGTCAAATTGGCCAATGGGGAAGGAGAGAAAAATTTCTTAGGAGGCTATTTCAATTGTTCTAGCTATTTATATAGTAAAGGCCTCAAAATAGAAAGGGAAGAATATGAGACTTATCACAGAGGTAGAAATTATTGGATCTGATAACTGGTGCAGTGCATACAACGCTGGTTTTTGAGGCAGAGGACCTGGGAGGCTCTGATATTTCCTGTCTCTGTGACATTGGGAAAGTCACTTAACCCTCTGGGGCTCAGTTACCCCAACTGTAAAATGAAGAGCTGGACTAAAAGACTTGTAAGGTCCCTTCCAACTCTAAATCTGCATTCAGACTCTTAAATAAAAGTGATGGGGGAGAGGGAAGAGTCATAGATAATTCCAGGGTTTTGAACTCAGAACATTGAGTCAATAGTAATGCCCTTGTTAGGAATGGGAAACTCAGGGGAAGGAGCCAATGAGTCCAGCTTGGGACATGTAAAGTAAATGGCTATTTTTGTTGTTTTTCAATTGACTACTGGCATCTGAATCTAACAAACTGCTAGTTTTAAAGTTCACTAAAAATTGCTTTTCTTTTTTCTTTCTGCAAAAGAATGTTATGGGTCCCTGCTTTATTATCAGACTGAATCCATATTCAGTCAACAAATAATAAGCACCTACTAAGCACGAGGCACTGTGCCAGATGCTAAGTATGTAAGGCCAAAATAAGGGAAACAGAGAAAGAGGGCAGACAGGAGAGGAGAGGAGAGGAGAGGAGAGGAGAGGAGAGAGAGGAGAGGGAGGAGAGGAGAGGAGAGAGAGGAAGGAGAGGAGAGGAGAGGAGAGGAGAGGAGAGAAGAAGAGGAGGAGAGGAGAAGGAAGAAGAAGAAGAAGAAGAAGAAGAAGAAGAAGAAGAAGAAGAAGAAGAAGAAGAAGAAGAAGAAGAAAAAAGAAGAAGAAGAAGAAAAAGAAGAAGAAGGAAGAAAGAGGAGAAGAAGGAGAAGAAGGAAGAAGGAGGAGAAGAAGGAGAAGGAGGAGGAGGAGAAGAAGAAGAAGAAGAAGAAGAGAAGAAGAGAAGAAGAAGAAGAAGAAGAAGAAGAAGAAGAAGAAGAAGAAGAAGAAGAAGAAGAGGAAGAAGAAGAAGAAGAAGGAGGAGGAGGAGGAAGGGGAGGAGGGAGAGGAGGAGGAGGAGGAAGAAAAAAGGAGGGGGAGGAAGAGGAAAAGAGAAAGAGGAGGAGAGGAGAGACACAGAGAGAGAGAGGAGAGAAGAGAAGAGAGGAAAAGGAGACATAGAAACGAGAGAGAGAGTTCAGTAGGCAGTAGGAGCAGAGGGAGAATGTTCCAAGGAATAATGTGAGCAAAGACAAAGGGGAAGGGGAAAGTACAATGTTTGTACAAGAAGTGGTGACTAGTCCAACTTGGATGCAACATAGAATATGTGAACGGTGGTAGAAAGACTAGAAGTCTCACTTTAGAGTAGGAACTGCTAATTGGTGGACTATGGTCCAGACTTGGACCTTAGGAAGAAACTATGCATTCTCTTTTCTTTCTATTCTCTATTCATTCTCTATTCTGGCCATTAGACTGGGAAGCTACATCAAAACATAGCATCATCAAAGACTTTGGGAGGAAAGAGCATCTATGAATGTAGGCTTACCGAAGAGCAGGGTCTGCAATATCCAACCTTACCTCCCTAGCACTTTGCTCAATTCCTTAGAATAGACACTTAGTAAATGTTGGTTGTGGTTGATATAATTACTGGTTTTCCTTTTAAATTTCCAAGATGGAGCACAGAAATCCATCACGTAATATTTTAAAAAAAAATTCTGTCCTTAGAAACTACAAAATCCAGTGCCTCTTTGATATTGACATTTTTAAAGAAAAAAAAATCTTATCCTTAGCAGTGGGGATTGTGGGGGAGACCCATTGGCATTATTAGTCATGCTTAGAGTCAGCTGCTTCCAGAAGCCTTTTTGCCGAGAGCTATATGACCTCATGTCTTATAAGGCAGTGTCTAACCAAGTTCCAGTGCTCACAGGCAACTTGAATAATTCTTCAAATTATAGGAATTCGTGTTTTATTTATATGAAACCACAGTGGGGACACAGCAGGACAAGTTGATGAATGGAGAGTTGATAACAACTACCCTCCAGAAAAAAAAGGAAAAAAAAATTCCATCACAGGAAGTACTTACTAATCTGCATGCCAGATTCACTCATCTGTCACCCCCTCAGTGAAGATGTAAAGGGAGTTGGTCTCAGAACTGTATGCAACGGTGCATGACTGATGCCTGTGGCTGTCCTGTGGGGCCGGTGCCTGAGTGACGCTTGTTTGCAGCTTCAGTGCTAGAGAAGTGGAAAGCCAGCATATTATGGAAAATGAGGACACAAGTTAAAAGGAGTTTTATATTAATGATTGATGAGCTATAGGGAGATGGGGACACCTAATGTTTTCATGACAGCATGAGCTGAAAGGCAAAGAGGTTGGAGGTTAACTAATGGTTTCCTGTTGCTCTGTTCTATTACATTAAATTAAAGGATTACAAAGTAAGCCTTATAAGGAAAAGTTAAAAGAGTTGGGGTCATTTAGTTGGGAGAAAGGAAGATTCAAACATAATCTGATAGCTGTCTTCAACATCCCATACTCACATAAAAGGTTTTGAATGAGAGAGATTGACCTATTGTTTTCCATGCCCATGAATAACCAAGCAAAAGGAAAGAAACAAATTAAACCAGAATGATTTAGGATGAATCTAAAAAGAGCAAGACCAGGGTGAAAAAACATTGCAGGTCGATGTACTTTTTTAAGCTAGAAGAGTGTGATCATTTCTACTAGGTGGTTTAGACATCTTGTATAAAGAGAGCTAGATTTGGAGTCAAAAGACCTAGGCTCAAATACTGGCACTGCCATTTGGGCAAGTGACTTGTGGGCCCTTGCTGGGCCTCCATTTCTCATTTGTAAAATGATCAGATCAGAAAGTCTTAATCTGAGATTTCAGGGATAGGAAAAAATTTACACCTTTATTTTCATTAACCTCTAAGTGAAATTTAGCATTTCCTTCAATTATTTAAAAATGGTATTCTGAGAAAAGACCCATAGGCTTCACTAGACTGCCAAAAGGAGTCCATGACTCAAAAAATGTTAAGGATCCACAGATTAAGTGATCTGTAAGGTTGCTTCCTGCTGGAAACTCTATAATCCTAGGATGGAGATCCCCTAAAGTTCTATTTTTCTAAGCATCTAAACCCTGATCACTCTATCCAATGGGCCTTACAGTTGATAATTTTCCCCCCAAGGTTAGCAGCATCTCTTTCCTCCCCCCTTCCCCCAAAGAATGAAATAAGTTGTTTTCATTTTTAAAGGCCTATAATTGGGGGGGAGGAGGTTAAAGTAAAAAAAAAATACAAATGAAGAGAGAAACATTTCACAAAGGTGAGAAAATGTATGGTAATAGTTATTGAACAGTTTGATTTATTAGGGAATGAGTTAATTTTTCTTTTCACTCAAAAGATCCTCAATAAATCAATCACTTCCACTTTGGACTGAAGTAGCGGGAGATGACAAGTGTTACATAACCCAAAAAGAGAGATGTGACATTTCAAAGACTTCGAGTGAAACACACATTCTACTCTTGAATGGCATAACCTTTCCCTTTCATTTCCAGATCTTAGAAATATTAATATTCTGCATCCTGCTGTATTTCTATAAAAGAAAGGATATGAAACACATTGTCATTTTGTTGACACTTGTGGCGCTTCTGGGTAAGAACTTTTCATTCATTTTCTTATTCTGTCTTCCAATCCTTCTGTGAAGTCACATACTTGGTTTTATTGCTGTTTTTGTAGAATATGCCTTAAGGGAAATTCTCAGTCATGCTACAGTGTTTCAAATCATTCCATTTTTTACTGTTTTAAGATAATTCCAAAGTTTATCTATTACTGTAACTGATTAATTTTTTAAAAAAGATTCTTGTACGTTATTTCTGATTGTATTTGGGTAATTCGTGGTCTTTTGCTTTTTTGGAATATTAAATCCTTTTTTTAAGATACTATATCTTCTTAATAGCAAGTGGTATAATTGAAACTTTACATGGCAAGAAAAGTTATTTACAACAAGAAAGGAGCTATGAATTGGTCCAACCATTCTGGATAATGGTTTGGAATTGTAGAAAGAACCAGACAATCCCACCAGTGGGCAACAAGAAAGTCAAAGAGAAATAAAGGCCCCATATGCTGAAATATTCATAGCAGCACTTTTTGTGCTAGGAATTTTTTTCTTAAGTATCCATCAAAATAAAAGGTATCAGGGCAAGGTGGCACAGTGGATAGAGCACCGGCCCTGAAGTCAGGAGGACCTGAGTTCAAATCCAGCCTCAGAGCAAACACTTGACACTTACTAGCTGTGTGACCCTGGGCAAATCACTTAACCCCAACTGCCTAAAAGCAAAAAAAAAAAAAAGTATCCATCAACTGGAAGCTCTTTTAAATTAGGGTTTGCTTCATTCTTTGTATTTGTATCACTGGTGCCTACCACAGCATCTGTCACTTAGTAGACACTTAATAAATGTTTATAATTGAATGAAAAAATAACAGAACAAACAGTGGCATATGAATGTAATGCAATAGTATTGTGAGAGTAAGAAATAATGAATATAAAGAATTTAGAGAAACATGGGGAGATTGACAAGAACTGATACAGAATGAAACAAGCAGAACCAGAACATGTACATAAGGATTTCATCCCTATGCATAAAATGCTTAGCACGGTGCCTGGCACAGAGCAGGTATTTAATAAATGCTTGATAAATTCCTTTCCCTTCCTTCCCCCTGACCACCTTTTCCCTTCATGTGTTATATCCCCTTGTTAAAATGTAGGCTCCTCAAAGGCAGGAAATGTTTTACTTTCTGTATTTGAATTCCAAGCATTTAGCATGTCTGCCACATAAGGGGGCAGTCGAGAGGACCAAAGTTCAAATCTGGCCTCAGACACTTACTAGCCATATGACCCTGGGCAAGTCACATAACCCTGTTTGCCTCAGTTTCCTCATCTGTGAAATGAGCTAGAGAAGGATGTGGCAAACCACTCCAGTATTTTTGCCATGAAAACCCCAAATGGGGAGAATGGAACATGACTGGAAAATGACTCAACAACAACAAGCCTTCTGTTGGGACCTTGAACAAATAGCAGCCCTTCAGATAAAGAGCCCAGTTATTGTCTCCTATTTGTGTTGGTTGCTATGGAAACAATTGAGTGGAATTGTTTTCAGCACTACACCCAGCTAAGCTAGTAATCAGGAGGGAGAGGAAGAAATTTAGAACAATTTCCTTCCCAAAAGAAAAAAAAAATGCAAAGATGAGAAAACTGATTGGTGGCCAAATGGTTAGATTGTTGGACCTTGAATCAAGATAGACCTGAGTTCAAACCCAGCCTCAGCCACATAATAACTGTGTAGCCTTGGACAAGTCACTTAACCTCTGTCTGCCTCAGTTTCTTCAACTGTAAAATGAGGATAATAATAGCACCTGCTGGGGGCAGAGCCAAGATGGCAGAATGAAAGTAGCGACTTGCTTGAGCTCTCCCCCAAACCACTCCAAATACTCATAAAAAATGGCTCTAAACAAATTCTGAAGCAGCAGAACCCACAAAAAGACAGAGTGAAACAAATTTTTAGCCCAAGACAACCTGGATGATTGATCAGAAAGGTATATCGTGCAGGGCTGTGAGTGGAGCGCAGCACAGCATGGGCACGCAGGCCGCAGCAAATCTGGAGCAGGCCTCAGAGGACTGAATCGCGGGCAGCTGTGGTGGTTTCCAGACTCCTCAATCCACTAATGCCAAAGACAACTTAGAAGGTCAATGGGAAAAGTCTTTTCTGTTGTGCTGAGAGAGGAAGGGGGTTCAGCTCCATTCCCCAAGAGCGTGGCCCTGGGGGGGGGCAGCTGCTTCCGAGCTTCCCACAGACTGAGGGGGAATCCAGTGGCTGATCAGAGAGGGATTGCAGGGATCTCTTTGCCAGTGCTGAGGCAGGAATCTCTTGCTTTGCCTGTGTGGATCTGGGTCACAGTTCTGGGCGTGCTGGGGTGAGGAGGATGCTATGGGTGGAGCTTGTAGTGGCTGTGGAGAGAACCCTCCTCACAGTTACAGGACAGAAAGGAATACTTGTGGTCACAGGCCAGGAAAGGAGTAAACACCTCGCCCTTATCATACCTTGGAAGAACTGAAAATTTACAGGTCCCTACAAGTATCTCTGAAAACAGCTGTACAAACCCCTGAAGCTTGGACAGTACATTCTCCACATTGGAAGCAGACTCTTACCTTAAAAAGAGTTTAAAACTCAAGTAATTGGCGGATCATGAGCAAGCAGCACAAAAAGAGTCAGACTATATTATCTTACTTTGGTGAAAAAGAAGATCAAAATACAACAGAAGAAAACAAAGTCAAAGCTCCTATCAGTCCAGGCCTTGGAAGAGCTCAAAAGGGATTTTGAGAAGCAAGTAAGGGAAGTAGAGGAAAAACTGGGAAGAGAAATGAGAGTGATGCAAGAAAATCATGAAAACAAGTCAACAGCTTGCTAAAGGAGACCCAAAAAAATACTGAAGAAACACCTTAAAAAATAGCCTAACCCAAATGGCAAAAGAGGTCCAAAAAGCCAATGAGGAGAAAAATAAAAAGAAAATTGGCCAAATGGAAAAGGAAGTCCAAAAGATTACTGAAGAAAATACTTCCTTAAAAATTAGAATAGAGCAATTGGAAGACAGTGACTTTATGAGAAATCAAGACACTGTAAACAAATCCAAAAGAATGAAAAATTAGAAAACAATGTGAAATATCTCATTGGAAAAAAACTGACCTGGAAAATAGATCCAGGAGAGAGAATTTAAAAATTATTGGACTATCTGAAAGCCATGATCAAAAAAGAGCCTAGACATCATCTTTCAAGAAATTATCAAGGAAAACTGCCCTGATATATTAGAACAGAGGGCAAAATAGAAATTGAAAGAATCCACAGATCTCCTCCTGAAAGAGATCCCAAAGGAAAACTCCTAGGAATATTGTAGCCAAATTCCAGAGTTCCCAGGTCAAGGAGAAAATATTACAAGCTGCCAGAAGAAACAATTCAAGTACTGTGGAAACACAATCAGGATAACACAAGATTTAGCAGCTTCTATTAAAGGACAGGGCATGGAATATAATATTCCAGAGGGCAAAGGAGATAGGATTACAACCAAGAATCACCTACCCAGCAAAACTGAGTATAATCCTTCAGGGGAAAAAATGGTCATTCAGTGAAATAGAGGACTTTCAAGCATTCTGATGAAAAGACCAGAGCTGAATAGAAAATTTGACTTTCAAATACAGGACTCAAGTGGAACATGAAGAGGTAAACAGGAAAGAGAAATCATAAGAGACTTATTAAGATTGAACTGTTTACATTCCTGCATGGAAAGATGATATTTATAACTCATGAGATTTGTCAGTATTAGGGTAGTTGGAGGAAAAAATTATATGTATGTATATATATAGATAGATAGATAGAGGGCACAGGGTGAGTTGAAGATTAAGGGGTCATATCTGGAGAATAAAATTAAGGGATGAGAGAGGATTATACTCGAGAAGAAGAAAGGGAGAGGTAGAATGGGGTAAATTATCTCACAAAAAAACAGAAAAGAAAATCTCTTACAGTGGAGGGGAAATGGGGGAAGGTGAGAGGGAATGAGTGAATCTTATTCTCATAGGATTTGGCTTAAGGAGGGAATAATACACATTCAATTGGGTATGGAAATCTGTCTTACCCTACAGGAAAATAGGGGGAAGGGGACAAGAGAGCAGGGGGATAGAGAGGAGGGCAGATTGGGAAAGGGTAATCAGAAGTAAATACTTCTGAGGAGGGACAGGGTCAAAAGAAAGAATAGAATAAATGGGAGGGAGGATAGGATTAAGGGAATAGAGTTAGTTTTTCACAACATGTCTACTATGGATGTGTTTTGCCTAACTGCACATGTACAACCTATATTGAGTTGCTTGCCTTTTCAGTGAGGGAGGGAGGAAGAAAGAAAATCTGAAACCTAAAGTTTTAAAAACATATGTTTAAAAAAATGTTTTCACACGCCACTGGGAAGTAAGAAATACAGGAAATGGGGTACAGAAGTCTATGATGCCCTACAGGAAAATAGAAGGGGAAGGGGATAAGAGAAGGGGGGGAAGAGATAGAAGAGAGGACAGACTAGGGGAAGGGATATTCAGAATGCATGCATAGGGGTGGGGGAGGGGTGAGATGGGGTGAAAATTTGGAACTCAAAAACTTGTGGAAGTGAATGTTGAAAACTAAAAATAAATAAATTTATATTAAAAAAAAATAACACCTGCTTCCCAGGATTGTTGTGAGGATCAAAAGAGATAACATTTATAAAGTGCTTTCCAAGCACTATATAAATACTGGAAATCATTGTTATTGTTATTACTAGTAGGGTGAAAGAACTAAGTATAACCATTATTCTGCTTTAAGATGAGGTGAGGGTGGGTACAGAGAATGAGAAACGGGGGCTTTATGTCTAATCAAAATTCTAGAAAGACCCACAAAATAGCCTTCTCATTAACTCAAATACTCTAAATCTAATGAGATGGAGTAAAGTCACTGGCAAGTGAGAATAGTATCTGAAACAGCTTTTTTACGCCAAATTGTTTCAAAGCCCTAAAGAGAGAGACAAATACAGAGGGCCTAATGCCAAGAACAGTTATGAGTTAATTGGGGGGGGGAGAT